TATGGAACATAAGATTTCTCCTAACTAAGAAGGAAATTACACACTTGGCCTCGTAAAAGAAGAAATTACAAGATTTCTCAATTCCTTTGACAACATTTTCTCCTCCATCTAGATAATAGGATGATGAATTTTTTTTAGTACAATAAATATGGAGGTGGAGATTTGAATTCTCGACCATAAAAAAAATCAATTAGATGCTTTAATCACTGAACCATAATATTCATATCGGTGATTGAAGAATATTTAATAAATTGCTTAAAATAATTATCAATAACGAGAAATAAATTGAGTATTGTCTCTTTTTAAAATGTTAATTAATTCTTGACTTAGATTGTGAAGTTTTCTTTAACTATTTATTAACGTTTTGACTTGACTTTTTGTAATTTTCTTCTGTGCCTTGGATTTTGTGACTCTCATTAAGTGGTTCCTTAATTTCTAGAATTTGTCAAGTTGTCAAGTTGGTCTAATTTAAAGTTCTCTTTCTTGATTTCACCTTCATTTATCAAAGATTCCGTTTATCATAATGATCTTTTAATTTTAATTTTTTGTTTTTAAAATATATAGTAGTTTTTCTTTTCTCTTTTTCCTTTTAAATTACATTTTCTACTAGCAACTCTCGTTATTTTTTTAAGTCCTTTTTAGGTTTAAAATTTTACTCAAAGTCCGTCAACATGAACTTAGTTCAACAGTAATTGGTACTTATTGGCACTTATTTCTGACCAAGACTTTATGAATTCAAATCCTCATCCCAATTTGTTGTACCTAACAAAAAAGAAAAAAAAATCTTTTACCAGAAGTCCAAAAAAGTGTTCAAAAATTGAATCAAGAAAACAAACAAATATCTAAGCTTAATTTTTAAACGTAAGGAATTGAATTAGATTGAATAATCCATCAAATTGAGATATATATTTTTGAATTATAACCAAATTCTTAAAACTTTTTTTTAGTTTCTGTAGGTACAATTTTTGTGTTTAAAAATCAGATTATACAATAGAATATTAATCTAAATATTGCTTTAAAAAAATTATAATCATAATAATCACTAATTCATATACACTTTAATTTTGCTATATATGTAACAATATTTTTAGCTGCTATTTTTGTATAATACTTTTGTCTAAAATATGTTAAATCTACAGCCAGCCAAAGTATTAAATAGATGCTTATTGATTATTAAATAAAATTAATGTAAAAAAGTCAATTATCTTGCATTTTGTATCTAGAAAAACTAAAGTCCTCAAGCCTCAAATTATAAGATTCTTGGCAAATTCAACTCTATTTATTTCAGTCCAATTAATTAGAATATTTATGAAATTAAGTTATTGTGAACAATTAATTTGTACTTCTATTTTAAACTTTGGCATTTGATGTTATCCAAATTATGTAAAGATATTTCTCTAAGGCTACAACTAAATCTTATAAAAACATTATATTATTAGCATTATACTACCATTGTTTTGTGATTTTTCAGTTTTGATGAAATAAATTTATTTCTATTACAAATGACAAAATAATAATAAGTCTAAAGCATTGTTTTTCTTTATGTATACACAAGGGATGGAAATCTTATAAAATATCTCGACCCGACCATTAAAAGAAAGACTTCTCCTATCTAAACGAATATAAAGGTTTAAATCTCATTGTAGTCTCTATAAATTTAGGACAAAATTCTATCTTGAAACTCGAACTTTAAAAATATTAATTTTCATTTTTGGACTTTAAATAAATAATAATCATTTTTGTCCTTGCTAGATAACATAGTTTGTACTAACATGTGATATGGGCATGTATTAGGAACCAAATAAGTCAACTAAGACAAGTATCGAGATGAGCAAATTTTAGGTGACAAAATAGCAAAGATGACCAAATTTGACGTCATTTTTTAAAGTTCAAAATTTAAAAATAAATAATTGGAATGTCATGGATTAAAATATAAATAAACTTTTAAAAATATAATAATCAAAATAAGATTTAAACGAAGAGATATTGAGTGAGTTTAGCATAAAATATGTACATTTTTAGTTTAAGCACTTTTGTTTTAAGTCACTTTTTTTTATAATCTAACTCTCAATAACATTTTTTTTTTATAATCAACTCTCAATATTTCTTCAAAAAGAATTTTTAAAACAATTCAATATTTTTATTGGTTACCAAAATGTTTTTTTAATTAAAGCAATTTTAGTTATCTAAAATCAATTAACTAGTAATTCTTTTGTTGAAAAAGTACTTTTATTTAAAAAGTATTATTTTCAAAAATCATCTCAAACACACAATAGCGTAGTAAAAGCGTTTTCTCTTTATTCTCTTGTTTTGATCAAGGAAAAACAAAACGATGAAAAAATAAGCACGACTTTTTTTTCTTTTTTTTTCCCAAAGGAAATATACATGAAATTTTTCAACTGTTCATTAATGTTTTTGACTTAGATTGTGTGTTTCACCAGTGATTTTATTAATTTTTTGATTTAGTTGATGTGATTTTACTCAATAGTTAATTTTTTTGACTTGGGTTTCGTGTGCCTCTTTCGTCAAGTTGTCAAATTTTCAAGTTTATATAGTTTTACCAAATGCTCTCAAATTTTAAAAGGTTCAATTTTACACTTAATATTTATTTGAAATGTAACCAAATTAAAATTCTAGATTGGCGGGATAAAGAAAATATCATAGATATATAAGTGAAAAAAAAAATATCAAGAGCAAAAATTGAAAATTTCAAAAAGTTAGAAGCAAAATTTGAAACTGTCATACATATATTGGTAAGGATACCACATCGGAAAGATAAAGGATTTAACAAAAGTTTATAATATAAGTGGGCTACTCTTCTCATTTCATTATCAATTAGTCTTGAGATGAAACCCAATAAATATTGATACGATATCGAAGCTCAAAAAGTTTAATTTTTTTCTTAAACATCTTGAAAAGGAAATTGAAATTGCTAAAAGGAAGAAGAAAAAACCATTTATATATTAGAATTGGAGGCCCATTCGATACAATAAAGTGGTTTCATTGAATGTCTCATCATATTTTATGGTATTTTATATTAATTTTAGAGTAATTTATCTTAGGCCAATTTGAACTGAACTCAACGTAATTGACAGTTATTTTTAATTGAAAAATCATAGATTCGAATCTCTTACGTCCACTTATCGTACTAAAAAAAGAAAAAAAATTATCTAAGTGAAATGAATTTCCAACGTTTTTATTTTTATTTTCTTAGATAAATTATCAAGGGGTAATTTTTTAGATAATTTTTACTTCTTTTTTTTTACCCCTTGATGAATGATTAAAAAAAGAAGTAAAAATTTACAAGATTAATATGAAATTAGTTTCAACATTTTTTTTTTGTCAATAATTTGATAAAAAATTCTTTTAAAATTATGTTAAAATTATTTAATGGATTGCATAGCTGGTATTGAAAAGGTGCCCTTTAGACTCTTCAATAGTAAACCCAACTTTTTTTTCCTTGTTGAAAAGAACAGTAAACCCAACTTTGTACGAGAAAGAAATATACCTAATTAAATTAATTCCATTAATGTTAAATAAAGAGAAAAAAATCACTTAATATGAGTTGATAATCTAATCCATATGATTAAAGGAAATTTTGAGTTGATAATCTTCTTTTTTAAAATATTTTTAAATATGTATTTTAATGTAAAATATCGATCTTTTTAGAAAGAATAGCAATCGGGTCATCTTTTAATTATTTTTGAATAATTTTTGTAACAAATGTGGGGTGGAAATTTTCTTTTTCCAAGATTTCAACAATTGCAGCGTGGGAGATTACTCATACGGTAACAGTGGGAAATTGAAGTTTTGATCCTACCTAAGGTAATTGGTAATTTATCTACTAATTTATGCTCAAATCAACTATTAATTTTATATGATTGATTATTAACTTTCAATATTTCATATTTGCAGTAAGCCCTCCTGAAATTAAACCTAGTTTCAAATTTTTATATTTGTTATTAGAGACAACTTCCTCCTCTTTAGAGAGAATAGTACAAAATAAACTTTGATAATTGAGATTTGATCTAGTAATATAATTCAATAGGTAAAAACTGAACTACAAAAGAAAGAAGACTGGTTCATCAGAATTCAAACTTCATCATGACAATTATTTTTGTCAAAAGTAATCTATATATTAATCCAATTATTATAATTTTTTTTTTGCTCGACAAATATGGAAGCGTGAAAATTTGAAAATCACAATAAATTCTCTCATATAATTGTAGTTTAATGGATAAAAAAAGTATGTTACCATCTTAACAGTCGATAACTCGATCTCCCCCTCCCCGTAATTATTGAACTAAAAAACGACACTCCCGTGTACTACAAATCCATAGTCCTATTCTCATTTGGGAAATTTTGATAATATAGAGTCAAATTTATACTAAAATATGGCCTTAATTTAATTATCTTAAATGAGGAAAACAGCTTTTAAATTTTAATGTTTTTAACATCAATTGATATATTACTCATATTAATCTAGTGGGTTTTGAAGAGGGGCCCATTATAAAATTTTGAATAGTAAACCCAACTAAGAAAGCAATGAGAAAAAAAAAACACAAAACACCCATATGAGAGGGAGATCTTTCCAAAAAAAAAAAAAATGAGAGAGAGATAATTGTATATATAATTAATTATATTGAGAGAGTTTTTTTTCTTTTTTTTAAAGATTAAAATGATCGGATAGTTATTAGTACATGTGAGAGAACGAGTCCCAAGTATAGTTCAGTGAATAAAATACTTATTACTATTTTAAAATCGAGAATAATCCCGATACATGAGATAGAAAAAATACCTACTTTTTTAACTATACGCATCTAATCTTTTAATTTCTCATCCAATTGTCTAATCGAAACAAAACACATATTAGAGGATGATTGGACCAAGTGGATTGTCCTACTTTTATTACCCACAAGATCTCGACCGTTGGATCTGCATTGTTGTGCTTATTTATAGTCTCTTTTCCCTCTCTTTCAGTCTCAAAAAACTTCCTCCCCTCCACTTTTTGGTGATTGACAAGATCACCACTTCCCCCTCTCAATTGCATTACAATCTTCTTCTTTCATTGGAAAGCAACCTCCAAAGCTCCATATCCATGGCTGCCCTAAAACCCTTCAAGGATCAGGTGAGTTCGATCAGCTCGCTCGCTACTCAAATCCCGTCATCTTCCTTCTTCTTCTTCTTCGTGCTCGTGTCAAACGAACGCTTTCCTCTCATTCTTTTGRCTTGTGCATGTTTGAAATATATGTCTAAATCTACTCATTTTGAGATGAATGGTGTGAGCGCGTCGAGTGTTATGTGGTACCCATTCTACTTCTTAAATAAAGTATCCAAAATTTAAGAACTCAATAAAGTCCATTAATTCACCACCTATTTCTTTGTCTAGTGTTTTACATCTTACCAAATTTCAAACACCAAAAACAAATCAATTGAAACACATTTCTAATTTAAATTGTTAAGAGTAAAAATGAATATATTATAATATCTATCTATTTATTTTTTTTAAATTGTTAGAGTAAGTTGAAAGAAGAGGCTGTGGCAGCAGAAGAATTCACTCTTGATGGAACAGTTGATTGGCATGGCCGCCCTGCAATTCGATCAAAATCTGGAACTTGGGTGGCAGGAATCATCATTCTCTGTAAGTTACCTTCAAAAACTTTTATTTTTATTTTTTTTTCTTTCTCTTTCGAGATATATCTAATATTTAAAAAAGACAATACGTACTCTTTGGTAAAGATAGATATTAATTACCATTGAACTAAGTTTACGTTAGAGAGTTTATGATAGATATCAATTACCGTTGAACTAAACTTATGTTTGAGAGTTTATGATAGATATCTATTACTACTAAGCTAAGTTTATATCGACGATAAAATACGAACTTTATTAAAATACGAACTTATAACTAATAGAAAGAAAGTATTAATACCTCGGATAATGTATCTAATTTATATATTTTGTATTTACGTGTGAAAAAGGTCACATAATAAAATTGAAGGCTGAAATTTGGCGACTAGATTGATTGAATGATTTTGGGAAAAAAAAAACATTTAAGAACTTGAAAGCAGACTTAACAAACAAAGTCTTGTCTTGAAAGAGTGTTGTTTGAGAGTGATTCATTCTCTTTGGACAAAGCCATAAATGCCCACTATTATACTAACTATATATATGTATGTATATTTAAAATTGATTTCTCGACTTTCAATTTTATTTTTTGAAATGACTAAACTTGATATTGAATGTTATTTTTTGCTCCTTGAAATATAATTCTACGTAATATTGAATTTAATTTAAAGGAATTAACAAACATTTGAAAATTTGGAAAAAATATATATATATTTTTTGCTTGATTTTTGTGTCCTTCATGTACTTTTTTCCTTTTTCTTTTTTGGTAATATTTAAAGAGCTTACATTTTCGGTTGGTAATTAATAATTGAGCTTTTAAGTTATAAGAAGTATATATATTTTTAAAAAATTTAAATTGAGTCCTTATTTAGTTGAAATTTATCAACTTTAAAAAAGCACGTATAGATTATTATGATGAAATATTTTAAAATGATGTACATGTAAATCACCAAACATAATGGTAATTAAAAACCCTACTTTTATATATTTATAAGTTTTAACTATTTCAATTATTTTTTATATGTTATCCAATTTTCATTTATTTAAAAAATAATAATAATAAGTTAGGACATGTCAAAATTATTAATTTTTGAAGTTGTATAACGTAAGTTTTATATATTTTTTCAAGTTCAACGTCATTTAACTTTCTAATCGATGATATATGTCTTAACTAGTTTAACTATGTTCGAATTTGTCGTATACTATAAGTTAAGTTCAGGTTTGGCCGCAAAATTTAGTGACGAAATTGAAATTGATTCGTAAAATATTTATAAAAGTGATTATATTTGTGTTTTTGCTTTATAATGCTCGATGTCGTAGTTACAAGGGATTACATATTTTGCACGTAACGAAAAGTCCTTTTTAATTAAAACTTTTTTTCTCTTTTAGTTTTTTTCTTTTTGTTTTTCTCTTGGTGCTGAATGCTGCCACGTGGCGGAATTGGATGGTTTGGGACAGAACTTGAGCCCTAAATTTTGGGCCAAGTCGGAACGTGGCCCACATCCACTTTCTCGTTGCATTATGGGCCCCAGCCCAATTATTTGACGTTGAGTTGCGCAAGAAAGGGCGATGAGGTGGCAGCCTCTGAGTGGTGGGTGATGGCTTTTTAATGACAGACTGATCAAGTTGTTGAATAGAGAAAAAAATAATAATAAAATTTTTTAGAAGGAAATTTTTAAATACATTGCTAAACTGTATCGTCCATTTGGAACCACAGTGAAGTTGCCAGCCTCCATGGTCTAGGATCTAGATTTAGGCAATAGGAGAGTTTAATTTAAAAATAAATAAATAAAATTGAACAGACAGGTCGCTACACTACACCTACATTTTTAGGAGCCAAACACGGTTGTGGGTACGATGAGACGTTTCATAGTTATGACATTTTTTTTTCTGGAAAACCCGAAAATTAGGAGTACTAGTATAAGAAATAATCTATGTGTGTGTATTTTTTTTTTTAATAAATCTAGATTAGGAGGGGTTAAACCTCAAAAGTATTAAGGAAAATGAGGAAATTAAAAAAAAAAGTAATAGAATTAATCCATTTAAATTACTGTTTTTATTTTAGTTTTTCAAATTTGATTATCTCTTTGGGCTGGGCTTAGTGGCTCTATCTGGGCCCTCTTATAAGCCCTTTGGTACTTTTACTTCTTGTTTGGGCCTATTTAAAGGTTATTTTCTTGTTTATTTTGGTACATTACCTTTTTTAACGTTCAAATTACATAAAAATAATAGGTTTTTTCTTAACTCAACGAAATATAGGGGTGGGGATTTAAACTTCCGACCTTTGGTTAAAAATATATATCCTAAACTATTTGAATTGTGTCTAGATTAAACTTAATTAAACGTGATTAAATAATCACTGGACCAAAAAATCAAAATCGGTGCTCTTGAAATCTACTGTTTGATGAATTTTTCATTTCAGTTTCTTTTAAGATCGTAACCACAAAAATGTTTGAAGTACGTAAAAAGCACTCGAGTTTGATTGTTATAAAAAGTTCGGATTGCGTTCCTAAACTATACGCATGAATGGCAGTGAACCAAGGATTGGCAACTTTGGCATTCTTTGGAGTTGGAGTAAACTTGGTGTTGTTTCTAACAAGGGTTCTGCAACAAAACAATGCTGATGCTGCTAACAATGTCAGCAAATGGACTGGAACTGTCTATATCTTCTCTCTCGTAGGGGCCTTCCTCAGTGATTCCTATTGGGGCAGATACAAAACTTGTGCCATATTTCAGATCATTTTTGTCATCGTAAGTTTTCCTCAACGGTTCTTTTTTTTTCCTTCAATGAAAGTGCATTTGGTATAACCTTTCGAGGTTCGAAGTTCTTTTATAAATGCATGTGAAAAACGCTTCTATAAGGTTGATTTGATTCGTAGGTTTGTAACTTGTAAATGTTAAAATATGATATAAAAAGTAGATTAGTTTGAGTTTATGTATCGTGAGTTTTGGTAGTTCGTAGAATTAATAAATTTATAGTTCGAAGAAAGTATAAACTCAATTTCTACGGATTAATATCTCAAGAAAAACATTTGACTTACATAATTCGAGATAAACAAACTCACGTATCAAATATAGACTTGACAGACTTCTGTGAGCCTAACATGTCAATAGAGTATTTGACTTCTAAGTTAGGATTATGTATCTAAAGAAATCAATAATCTAGCTTAGTCTTCATACATGAATTTACTTATCCTTAATTATAAGTGTATTAATTATGCAAATTACATAAATTCCCTTACAAAGCTACCTTATTTATTATATAGTTTTAGCTTTTAATCAAAATTACATAAACCTTCCTTTCTTCTTTCTTCTTTCTTTTTTTTTCAATATTTGACATAGATTTTGAAAATATTTGTTAAAACTATATAACAAAACAAATAAACACGCAGATAACTTAATTTTCAAAAAACACAAAACCAAAAATAGAATTATTATCCAATATTGTTAACTTGAAAATAATTCAATAATCCACTCCTAATATTTTTCTAAGGTCGAAGATCCCGAGGTCACTGGTTGAATTCAAGAAAGAGAAAAAATCTCATTATTCTCATATAGTTTTAAAATAATAATAATAAACCCAATTTTCTTTTTGTACAATTGATAATAAAATTACAAAGTTTCCTTTCTTTTTTTTTTTGTACTAATTTGTTCAAAAAAAAAATTTACAGGGCCTGGTTTCATTATCACTCTCCTCCCACCTGTTCTTGATCAGACCCAAAGGCTGCGGCGATCTGCAAACGCCCTGCGGAACCCATTCCAAAACCGAAATTTCCCTTTTCTACCTCTCGATTTACCTCACAGCTCTCGGCAATGGCGGCTATCAGCCCAACATTGCCACCTTCGGCGCCGACCAATTCGACGAAGAGGACCCCAAAGAGGGCTACTCCAAGGTCGCCTTCTTCAGCTACTTCTACCTCGCCTTGAACCTCGGCTCCCTCTTCTCCAACACCATTCTAGGGTTCTTCGAGGACGAGGGCATGTGGGCTCTCGGATTCTGGGTCTCCGCCGCCTCCGCCGTCGCCGCCCTCCTCCTGTTCCTCGCCGGAACCTCGCGGTACCGCCATTTCAAGCCCACCGGAAACCCCCTCACCAGGGTCTGTCAAGTCGTTGTCTCGGCGGCCAAGAAATGGCGGGTTAGGGTTCCGTCTGGAGGAGAGGGGCTGTTTGAGGATGATGGGAAGCGAAGCCCTGACAATGGCTGCCGGAAGATTCTCCACACCCATGGATTCAAGTAAGAGCAGAGATTTTTTTTCCGTTGCTGAAGTGAAATTTTGTGTTTCTTCTGTCCATTTTTTATGCTCTTTCAACTCTTATGCATGATGGGTTTTGACTTTTGACTTATGATTTTGGATCCTGAGCTTTGTTCTGCACTCTGTTTTTTGTTTTCCAAAGCTTTTTCTCCAACATGTAATCTTCGGATCCTGAGTTTTAAGCACTCTGTTTTGTGTTTCTGGTTTTTTGTCTATCAAAAGCTTTTCTCAAAGTTGTATAGAAGTTTTTACAACAAGAGGTTCTGGGAGTTTATTAGGAAGAACAAACAAATAAGAGATACCATGTAGAACCAGATGTCAAACACAGCTCTTTTAGTTTCATTCTTCTAAATGGTGTACAAGTTTTAGAGTTTATTAGGAAGAACAAACAAATAAGAGGAACTATGTTTGATCAACTATTTTTTAAGAATTGTGTTGTCTTAGTTTGTTGTCACAACCTTTTAAGAAAACTGGGAAGTAAGTAGTTGCAAAATAATCTTAATATTACAAGTCACTTGATCGCTGTTTGTAAAACTATATAACAATCAATAAGAAACAAGGAGTGGTAACGTTATCAAACAGGTGTTTTTAATGTACTTTCTTCTTGTTCTTAACCTCTGCAATAATTACAGGTTTTTGGATAAAGCAGCCTACATCTCCTCAAGGGATCTAAGTGATCAAGAGCAAGGAGTGTGCAACCCATGGCGTATCTGCCCAATCACACAAGTAGAAGAAGTAAAATGCATTCTAAGACTGCTCCCAATTTGGCTCTGCACCATAATCTACTCAGTAGTCTTCACCCAAATGGCCTCGCTCTTCGTCGAGCAAGGCGCAGCCATGAAAACTACCATCTCGAGCTTCCGCATCCCACCCGCAAGCATGTCAAGTTTCGACATTCTTAGCGTCGCCCTCTTCATCTTCCTCTACCGTCGTGTCCTCGACCCATTCGTCGGAAAGCTCAAAAAGTCCAGCTCCAAGGGCCTGACCGAGCTGCAACGGATGGGAGTGGGGCTGATCATAGCCGTGATGGCAATGGTCTCAGCAGGAATCGTGGAGTGCTACCGACTCAAATACGCCAAAGCCGACTGCACCCACTGCGAAGGCTCAAGCTCCTTGAGCATCTTTTGGCAAGTTCCACAATATGCACTGATAGGAGCCTCTGAAGTTTTCATGTATGTGGGTCAACTAGAATTCTTCAATGCACAAGCACCAGATGGCCTTAAAAGCTTTGGGAGTGCCCTTTGTATGACCTCAATCTCTTTAGGGAACTATGTGAGCAGCTTGTTGGTGACAATGGTGATGAAGATTTCAACAGTGGATCGCATGCCTGGTTGGATCCCAGGTAACCTTAACAAGGGCCATTTGGACAGGTTTTACTTTCTTCTTGCTGCCTTAACTGTGGTTGATTTTGTTATTTACATTGCCTGTGCTAAGTGGTACAAATCCATCAAATTGGAAGACAAATATGAACAAACTGAAGAACCTGAAAGCTTCAAAGTCTGAAAATGAAGCTAAAGTCGGGTTCGAGTTCGGGTTTGGGGGGGTGTCCTTCCATTTTTGGCTTATTCTTCAACTTTACATATGTTGTTAAGTGCCTTAATGGAGACTTGATGGTGTTGTTGGAAAATGTTGGCATATGATAGTAATTTGTTTGCTTCACTACTTGATGGGTACTTGACTAATTCTTGTATAGGAATATGAATATCATCATCATTTGCTACCTCTTGGGATTATACTTTATTTTTTCCTTGTCTTGTCACTTTTTTGACAAAGGAGATTGTATTATTATGCAATATCCGAAAGGCTATTTCTTTTCTTTTCGGTAATCTCGTGTCGTGTGCGATCTAGTGTATGGATGATATCGATATGCTCGGGGATGTTAGATCATTGCAATATTCATTTTGAAGTAATTGTTGGTGGAATTATGTGAGATTAGCCACATATGAGGTTCGAAGGTTTGAACTTGAACCGATTACAAATGAATAGTCAAATACTTGAATTAGATTTGATATTGACAATCAAGGTTAAAATGAGGGCTAAAGTATAATTGTTGAGATTTACAAAAGAAAAGTAGTGTAATTATTGGTTGGTGCTTCATCAAAATTTGTTATTCACAACCAATGGTAACACTTAACAATAATGGTTTAAGATAGGCATAATTTTTAAGTTCATAATTATATGAAAATTTCCCAACAAATAAGGGATTTTGGTGTACATATCCATAAAAGATATTTGGAGTTTGGGAGCCCTCAATACATAATTCAAGACAAAAACTTTACCAAGTAAAAAAATGTCTTTCATTTGAGTTTTATAAGAGAGGAAAAACTCTTTCATGAGCTTCTCTCCTATGACATGTTTGGGAGAGAAAAATATAGATTAGTGGAATTTTTTTACAAAAATAATGTAGTTTTAAGAAAATAAAACAAAATTTGTTGATTAATTGTGCACGATTGATACAATTTTAGTAGATCATGTTAAAGGAGTACACGCGATTTTGAACAGTAAAATTGTCAAATGGAGATCATGCATATATTTTTTTAAATTGTTTTCTTGAAAAATTATCGTGCATGAGCACATTACATATTACTTAGTACCAGATGAGAAGAAAAGAGAACGGAACCATAAATATATAACAACAGCATAATTTTTAAGTTTATAAGTATATGAAAATTTCCCAA